CAGCAGGGTCGGCTCGGGCCTGAGTTTTGGCTTTAGGAGTCAGTTGCGCCCTTTGAGTTTGGGGCGTGACAGACACTTTAGAAAAGTGAAATGAAGATGTTCGAATGTAAACTGCATAACTTTATGTATTTAATTATATGAGATATATAGAATGTAAACTACGTAAATTTGTGAATGTAATCACATATAAGGTATTATATTTTATAAATGTATTCTCAACTTATGATAAGCAAAATTAGTAGAAGAAGAAGATGAAGAGTTTATCTTAATGACAAGTTAGGAGGAGAACGACAAAAGATAAGAAAATAAAAAAGAGAAAAATAAAAGGAGTTACATACATTTTGTCTGCTTACCTGTCAATGGAGGACAAAAGAAATGAGAAAGAGAAAAATTAGAGGGCCAAAAAAGTAAAAAAATAAAAACTACTTTTAATTTCTTTTTTGCTTAACTGTCAAAACTTTTTAATTGGTGTCTTTTTCTCTTTTTCATTTTTTACATTTCCTTCTTTTTCCTTACTTATTTTTTTGTTTATTTATTTTACATTTTCTAATTTCTTAATAATAAAAATGAGAAAATCCAAAAAGTACAAAAAAAGAAGAAGTAAAGGGTAGATTATCTAAATTTATAAATACTAAAAATTTATATTTATAATATTTATAATTAAAAATATGAAATTGAGTGAATTGGCAAAAAAAATATTTATTTAAAGAAGTTGTCGACGATAAAAATATATTTATCCGATTATACTTAGGACGTAGACATTGCGAGTGAAACATGAAGAAAATTAAAATTAACATCATATTTCCTCTATTAAGTGGTTGTCTTCATATCCTCGATTATATATGAATCATATCATACAGAAATAAAGGCTCATTAAAATTAATAATTTTTTAATTTTATTTTAGTACTAGAGACGTATAAGAATTTTTTTGGATAAATTATTGATGATGCTTCATTGAAAAATTAAAAAAATACCGATAGAAAAAAAAGAAAGTTCTTTGATGATTTTAAAACGAAACTTTATCAAAATAATTTCAAAGGAAAAAATCTTCATAGTTCTTTAATGATAATGACAACACAATTTTGTTAAGGATGAACAAGGTCAAAGTTTCATCACATATATATTTTTCTTTATTAGTATTATTTGTTATTTTTATCAAAAAAAGAATATCTCTTGCTAAATGATATGTTAAAATATTAAGTCTACATAGTTGTTGACAATATCAATTTTATTTTGCCTCAAATTAATTTTTTCAAACTAATTAAAAAAATAAATTATATTTTAATAAAATATATGTTAAATTATATTTTAAATTATACTTTATGAAATATTGTCTTGCACATATCCTTTAAGATAATTGTTAGTGAATCTTGAACATTAATGTTAAATTTTGCAAGAATGATGTCGTAATGTCATAGTTGAAAAATGAAATACATGTATAAGATTATAAATCATGTTTTTATGTGAAAATTTTGTTTGATTTTTCATTATAATTTGATTATATAAAAATCTTTAATATAATATGATTTTGACACTTTTTTCCGTAGGTTTTCACTATTATTTTGCTGATGTATTTTATTTTTTTTTACTTATGAAATTATGTTTTGATTTGACCTTTTATTTTAGTTTTTGAAATTTTAAGTATTGCAAATTGTCTTTGACATGAACTTTACTCTCATGTTTGGCAGATACAAGGATCGGTACGCAACCACAAATCCTTCTTAAAATCAACGTTCTTAAAATTAAAGAGTTGATAAACTTATGTGTTTAGACCATCTTTTCTCAAAGAATTTTTTTAATATAAAAATCAATCTCTTAAATATTAATTTATAGATTGAAATATTAGAAAACGACTATTTTATAAAATAAGTAAAACAAATTATAATCGCGCGAAGCGCGGCCAAATTCACTAATTTATAATAACGTGTAATCACAAATATCTATTAACATACTGAACGTGTCACACATGCGATTGCCATTTGCATGTTTGGTAGGAGATCATATAAAAATTGGAAAAGTATTTATAGTTTTCATGTTTGTGAGAAAAAAAAAAAGACAACTTAATAATCCAAATGGTAAGTTCATACAAAAGCTTTTTGCTTTATTTAAAACTTCTCGAACTAGAAAGAGAAGCCCTTTTCAGCAGGCTTCCAGGTTCGCAACTATACTCCTCTCTTACTTTCCCAGCAGAAAACTAGATAGAACTTTGACTAGAGCAAAAATCCAGAGCTTGACTTTAACTGGAAGAGCAGAGCATAAAGCGCCTACTTGACGAGCAGGAGCAGAGAAAAAAAAAAAGACAACTTAATAATCCAAATGGTAAGTTCATACAAACTTTCAAACAAGTCGAAGCTATGGACACTCGCAAACAAGTTGAGGTCGACTAAACGAATCTTCTTGGAGTCAAGTCAACCATATGAATAATGTGTCATCCCTCTTAGAAGTGAACTCTCTCATATGGATGGATAAACAGATGTCATACTTTTCATTGTATAATTAGACATAATACAAGAAGCAATAAGAAAAGGGAGGTAGAAGATTTGCAATAACATCAGTAAATAAAGCAAAGATGATGCTTTGTTTCCTTGAAGCAAAATTTATAGAGAAAAAAAAGCAAATGAATCTTAGTACAATATCATATGACACAACCCCAAGACCATAATTCGAATATTATTCAAACACATTTAGGTCAACTTTCCAGCAAAACTTGCCAACTTCCCCCAACAATAATAAAAACACACTACCTAAACAGAATCAAAGTATTAAAAACAAAACAATCGTGCCGCGATATCGTTGTTCCACCATGAGTGTCTCTTCCCTCAGTACCTGTAGTGAGCAGGCTTGTAAGGACCCTCAACTGGTACGCTGATGTAGTCAGCTTGATCCTTGGTGAGTTTGGTAAGCTTAGCTCCGAGCTTTCCAAGATGTAGGGCAGCAACCTTCTCGTCTAGGTGCTTTGGCAAGACGTACACCTTCTTCTCGTATTTACCACTGGTCCTCTCATTCCACAACTCGAGTTGGGCAATGACTTGGTTAGTGAAAGAGCAAGACATCACAAAACTGGGGTGTCCAGTGGCACATCCCAAGTTCATGAGACGACCCTCGGCCAAGAGAATGATGCCACTGTTGGTGTCTGGGAAGACCCATCTGTCGGTTTGTGGCTTGATTGTGATCCTCTTCACACCAGGGAAGGTCTCAAGACCATGCATGTCGACTTCATTGTCAAAGTGACCAATGTTGCAGACAATGGCATTGTTCTTCATCTTCCTCATGTGGTCAACCATGATGATGTCCTTGTTACCAGTGGTGGTCACAAAGATATCAACCTCAGAAACAACATCCTCAAGAGGAAGAACCTGGAGACCTTCCATGGTAGCCTGGAGAGCACAGATAGGATCAATCTCAGTCACAATAACACGGGCACCAGCTTGTTTCATGGCAGCAGCACATCCCTTGCCGACATCTCCATAACCAGCAACAAGAACAACCTTTCCGGCAATCATAACATCAGTAGCCCTCATGAGACCATCAGGCAGTGAGTGGCGGCATCCATACAAGTTGTCAAACTAGAAACCAAAGGGATCAATACAATTGTCAGTCAATGAGCTTAATAACAAACATGACCTAGGTATAAATACAACAATCAAGATCTACTACTTTCTGCATCTTCAACAACTAAAGACAACGTCATACTTGAATCCTCAAACCAGTATTGCTACCAAGCTATAAGACACAATAGCTTTTCCAAATGTAGCTATAAGTAAACCTATCTAACCTAACCAAGTTGTCATTCTTCAACAGAGTAAGTGAAAAACTATACACTTAACCATGCTTCCCCTCTAAGCAAAGATCCAATACAATAAAGTCATGAACTTCTGAGATTAAATAAGCATCATTTTCTTCATGTAACAAGATCAGGCATTTTAGGAACCATCTTCTCTATGTGCTTAACAATACAGATCTAGTGAAATATGCATCATAACATAAATATCTTACCAAATTTCTAATCAGTGACTATGTAAACACACACTCCAATTAGAAAAGAAGTCAACTTTTAGCTTTTCAAAAGTCAATAGCATTTATTCCTCAACATTACCAAAACAGTTGAAGATTCATGATTCATTTATAAAATTCAACTTACAATATACATTGCACTTATACAATAAGTACCAATCAATCAACATTAAGTTAACAGTATAGTTCCTCTGTACCAGATCCAAGCAATTATCAATCATTCATAACAGATCTAAATGTATAACAAGCACACAACCAATTCACATAGATCTGAAGCATAAGAATCAAAACAAAAAGTTAGAAAGCACATATAATATACCTTGCTCTTGGTAACAGAGTCATTAACATTGATAGCAGGGAATAGCAAAGTTCCATTAGCCTGCATTTGGTAAAGCCTCTTAACACCAGTGGTAGTTTCCTCAGAAACACCAACAAGTCTCTCCTTCATCTTAGTGTACCTTAAAGGATCAGTCTTTAAGCTCTCCTTAATAATAGTAAGCACAAGTTGAAACTCAACATTGTCAGTAGAAGTAGGATCTGGGATTGTCCCATTCTTAGCAAACTCCTCCTCTGCCTTAACTCCCTCATGAATCAAGAGAGTAGCATCACCTCCATCATCAACAATCAGATCAGGACCACCACCTGGACCCCAATCGAGTGCCCTCTCAGTACACCACCAGTACTCCTGCAAAGTCTCACCTTTCCAGGCAAAAACAGCAGCACTATCACGTGCAATGGCTGCTGCAGCATGGTCCTGAGTTGAGAAGATGTTGCAAGAACACCATCTAACTTCAGCACCCAAAGCAGTTAGGGTTTCAATAAGGACAGCAGTTTGGATAGTCATATGCAGAGATCCAGTGATCTTTGCACCTTTAAAGGGCTGTGAAGGGCCGAATTCAGTACGGGAAGCCATGAGACCAGGCATTTCAACCTCGGCAAGCTCGATTTCGAGCCTGCCGAAGTCTGCCTGGGACATGTCCTTCACCTTGTACTCGCGGCCAGAGGTGGTCTTCTCAACGAGTAGAGCCATGGGTAAGGCGAGTATAAGAGAAAAGAAAGGGTTTGAGATGAGATCTGAGAGGCTTTACTCTTCTTCCTTTGGGGTTTTTCAGGGAAGAAGAAGAAGTGTGGCAAGAAATTTAGGGCGGAAATGAGTGGTATAAATAGGTTTGATTGTGGAAATGGACGGTCAAGATTTGTTTCAGATCTCAAATTTTTATAAGGGAATTTATTGGTTTGGTAGATCTGATAAAGTTTAATTTAATTCATATAGTAATTTTTACTACTATCAAATATTTTTTACATGTTTTATCAGATTTCGGATATATCTTTATCCTCTCTCAAATATATTTATTCTCTCTCGTGATGAAGAAAATTTTCGATGTTGAAAAGTATCGTCACGATAATTTAATTTGTCCAGTAAACTACCCGAGGCTCCCCATTTATTCACTCTTGGATATATTTCTCTCATTAAGTAATGTATTATTTGCAATATATTGAATAACCAAAAAATATATTTAAAGAATAAAAAAATTAATTTATATAAATGAGAAATTTTTGGGATAAAATACAATCCCAAATATATGAGATTTCTATAATTTTACCGTATTTTAAGGTCATCAAAATCCACTTGACTTCTTTTGTGAATGCATCTGAAAGTTACGACTAAAGATAGTAAGGGCCCGTTTGGCCATGCGATATGATATCATGATATGAAATCATGATATGGTATCATGATATGGAATCATGAGATGAAATTGAAGGTTTGTTAGGACATGCGATATGAAATTTTTGTGTTATATATTTTCTCATAAACATAAAAATCTCATAAGTTGTAAAACTATTAAAATAGCCCCAATTGTTTATTCAATCTTATCAAATAAACAAAAATTATAAAATCGCAAAATAAATTATTACAAAGTTATTTGTTCTTCAGTTAAATAATTGTTTCATCTAACTTTAATTTAATTAAAAAAATTGAACATAAATTGTACTTGATATGTTCATATCTCTCAACTACTCTTACAAATAACCTATAAAGTAGAAAAAAAAACATACATTAGTGAGTAAATATTAACTTAGAAGTTAAATGCACTAAGATAAAAATTAACAAACATCACTAACTTCTAACTATTTACAAGAAAAATCAATAGTTAAATATTATTGAATAACGGAATTTTAAAAAGTTACCACAAGTTTGAGTCAAAAACACTTCTAATAAAATTTAATCAAAAAAATTATAACTAGTCCACTTGACTAAATATTAATAACTAATTGATCAAATTTTCCTAAGTCCTCAATCAATTGGACTTGATATCCTTCAGTCATGTGAACGAACATTTTGCAAATACTAAGATTAAGAAAGTGCGGCACCGCCAATGAAAATTGTCTTTTATCAACATTATGCTTAGTCATAAGATTAAGACATTTTTTTTATTATTATGTAAAATCAAAAAAGTATTACTCCCTTTGTTCTCAATTATATTCACCAAATGAATTTCTACTTTATCATTTATATTCACCAAATTTAAAGTGATAATAAATTTTATATTTGTGAGAATAATAAATTTTAAAAAGTAATGATGTGATTATAAATTTTATTTACATATGAAACAAATGGTTAGTAGATATAAATGTGGGGTTGTTTTAACAAAATATAAACTCATGGATCAATTATTGTATTAAAATATCTCAAATCATGATATGAAATCACATGGTGATTCCATATCATGGTTTTTGGAGAATATGATATCACCTCTCATGATATGGAATCATGAGATGAAATCAGCGTAAAATCGCATGTCCAAACGCTGATTTCATCTCACGACATCATATCATGATATGATATCGCATGGCCAAACGCCTACTAAATCAATCTATAGTCTAGCACAGACACAAAGCTGGCTTTATTTCATTATTTTGTCATATCTATGTTAGTTTTGTCAAATCATTTGAATAATAACTATTCCTTTTGTTTAGAAAAAAATGATCTAATTTGATTTGGTACGGAATTTAAAAAAATAAAGAAGATTTTTGAATTTTGTGATTCTAAATTAAAGTAATGTCAAATGTATTAAATAGTCATTTAATCTTATAGTCTTAAACATAACATATAAAAAGCTGAAATAAATGTTACCAAAAAAAAGATATCATTCTTTTTGAAATAAGACTAAAAGGAAAAGGATGTTATTCGAATGAAAGAGTCTTGCAAGATGTGAATTGAAGAGTTTTTTTCTTTTGATTTAGCAGCTTTTGTCTCTAACTAACTAAAATAAAGAAATTTTGGAATCATAATAAAGTCTAGAAACGGCTAGTTTTTATTATTATGGAGAGTATTATTCAATTTACCAAAAAAAGGAAGAAAAAATTCAATAGCTTTGGCCGAATGTGGTGATAAAGTTGTTCCGTCTTTAATTAAAAGATTTAAAATTGAGCGTATTAGAATTTTCTTTTTGATACAATGCATTCTTTCTTGAATAAAACTTAATACGAAATTTAAATTAATTAGACTCTGATATAAATATTGAGAAAAATAAAAAAAGTTACTCCCTTCGGTTAAACAAAAATGGCCTAGTTTCCTTTTTAGTCTGTTTTAAAAAAATGACTTATTTCTTTTACTTTAACTTCAATTTTCCACGTGTGACATGTTTAAGGCCACAAAATTAAAAAATATTTGGTACATTTGACATAACTTTAATTTAGAATCATAAAATTAAAAAAGTTTTTTTTTTCTTAAATTTCGTTTCAACTTAAATCAGGTCATTCTTTTTTAAACTAAATTATTAATAAGAATTGTGTGGAAATAGATAGTAGATGTTGGCCGACAGGTATTATTGGACCCACACTTTGTAAATCTCAATGTAACGTCCATCTCGTCGGTGGTCTCACTCTCACACCACCATAGAAATTAGAAAATAGGAGTTCTCTAATTGCAAAAATATCTGTTATTCTGTTCATTTCATATTAGTTTTTTATGTTATTAAAAAGGAATATCATAAATTATTTTTAATTTAAAAGGTTAAGCGATAACTATTTATTTTTTTTATGGAAAAGTAGAAGATATTTTTTTTAAAAATCATATACCATTAAATTGTCTTTATAAAAATCTTAGTCCAACACTATCTATTATATACTCTAAATTTATCTACTGAAAGAATATAGGGTTCAAATACAGTTATAATTTTTCTGTATATAAAAAAAAATAATTCAAAATTCTCTTTTGATCTCATCATCGGAGTGAGTTTTGGCTAACAATCCTAATTCAGGACTAGTCTCTCTCCCAAATCGGATTTGTATGTAAAAGTTATAGATACTCATATACTTATAAATAAAATTACTAAAATAAAATAATAAAATTTTTAAAAATTATTTTTAAATATAAAATATATTAGAAAGAAAAATGCATTGTACAAAGGGTAACGATTTCGTTTCGTCGCAAATCTCTGTCCTTTCATCACCCAATATAAACATTTTTCTTATATTTTTTAATTATACTAGTACTATATTATATGCATAATGTCCCACTAATTCGAAGCAAAATAATTAAAGGGAATAGAGGACAAAAAAGTAGGAGAATATAGTAGTAGTATTATATAAAAGAACACCCACCCACTCCCCCCCCCCCCCTTTATTTATTTCTTTTTTAAGCATGGAGCATGAAGAAAATTTAATTAGAAACTATTTTGGAACGATATATATATATAGAACAAGAATTTGTTGGATTTATTGATTTGCTCCTACTCTAGCTTTAGCTTTATAATCTACTCGTCAATCCTACTTTCTGAAAGCCTTTCAAGGGCCTATTCCTCTTGCTCTACTCAAATTTAAAGTTCAATGACTTTCATTGTTGACGAACATCTACGCTAATAAAACAATGAAATCAAATTCATATCTTGAAGAATGAATCAATAATACAACAATAATTTAAACGACTTATATTTCAATACTTGGTTCAAATGTTGCAATTAACACTAATCGAATAAAGCTTAATTAAACAAAACTATAGCAGTGCAAAACTAACGATAGAACTCAAAAAAAGTACATAACATAATGAATGGTGAGTGATTTTGACATATATACAAACAAAGGGGGAAAACAACACTTTCATACACCTAAAATTCTATTCATAGGGGGACCAAGCCACCCACCATGCCAAGGCAAGAAATAATGTCATATATTTGAAAAATATCCTATTTTTAGGGTTATTCATCCTATATACAAAATTTATTAGTTCGATTATTTCGATATTTTATCAAGGAAAAAGTGTTTGTCATCAAAAAATCTTCGTCGTTAATTGAACTAAAACTCGAATTCTATTAAGAGCGAAAGAAACTTAAACATCCTATTGCGCTTGATGATACATTTGAAGGATGTTGGACTAGGAAGACCAAATTGACATCAACAAACACCATAGGCAAACCTTTCAAATCTTACCTACTCTAACAAGGATATGGTGACACTATCATTACAAAGTGTTTCGATTTGAAAGGTATATGTGGATTGACCAAATTTATTAATAATAATTTGTGTATTGCGAAATTCAAATTTATGTTTTAAATAATTTTTGGATAATAAACAATATTGAAGTAAAGTTTGTATACATATCACCTTCTGAAAAAAGTATTTATATTAATTTTCATAAAAATCTAAATTAGAACATCTTAAAATGGATTTCCAAAAAAATTAATAAAAAATGGTCCACTAATTTTGCTTAACCAGTGGACTTGACAGTTGATTATGCAGACAATAATTGACAAATAAGGTCTCGACTTGGTCTGCACGTCTATAAGAGTAAGACTAGATATAAAATAATTGTACATTTAATTTTTAATATGAGAATTAAAATAACAATTACTCCCCTTAATGAATGTTGTAAGTAAGCAAGAAGTTCGAGTTTGAGTTTTGATAATGAAATCGTTCTTAGTAATAAACATTAAGACCTCATATAGTAGACTACTTACATTACGAATTCAAATCAGTTGAGCTGGTGAATTTCGATAAAAAACAAATAAATAATGTTTAATTAGGATCGTGAGAAGGATAATTTTTTTCATCTCATTTCTCTATTTCCCTTAGATGGAGATAACCACTTGATAAATTGAAACTTTTTTTTCTCTCATTCAATATTCAATCTGTATTAGAGATTCAACTAATTTGAATTCACGTAAACTTGCAACCTCTTATTATTGGTGAA